TGATTCGGACGACCTTATGCAACCGGTAACGGAGGAATCTTCTGTAGGTGTGACAATTCCCAGTCCCCCTGAAAGTAAGCGTTTTCAGTTTCACCGTCCTTTTGCTTAACCGCAACGTCTTTAATGAAGGTATCTGTCAACTACCGCCGGTAACTGGCGTTTGCAAGGCGGCAATTCCAAGATGGCACTACGATTCTCGTGATGACAGATGCCATGAATTTTTGTTCGGTGGCTGCGGCGGAAACGAAAATAATTTCGGCAGCGAAGAAGGTATTTTCTGATTACCTGATCAGTGTTCGCCACATGACTTATGAACTGCACTGCCCGTTTTAGAGTGCGAAAGAGCCTGCGGAGATTACAAGCGCAGAGGCGCATTAGAACGACCGCGGGACGGTCTGCAGGGCACTCTGTACACCGAGAAGCCACTGGTGCCTCGTTATTACCCTTATCCCAGTTCCGTGTTGCCCGGTAATGGCAATGATGTTTATGATTTTTTGTTATTAAGTACACATGTTTTCAAGATCTCTGTACCCAACCTCAAGACCCAGGTGCTTGCTACGGTCGTACTTTGAGATGGTACTATGACAGCGAAAAAATGCAGTGCGCGACGTTTCTCTATTCTGGCTGCAAAGGCAACAGCAATCACTTCTTGTCGGAAGAGTCCTGCGAACGAGCCTGCGGCTTATACAGGGACCAAGGTAAGTCAAGCTTTACTTCAAGTATTGCTGATGCTTTTGTCATTGAAAGCTTCGCGTTGTAGACGTTTGCACTTTGCCCCCGGATGAAGGTCCCTGTCTGGCATCGGTGCAGAAATGGTACTACAAGACTGATTCCAATGCCTGTGAAACGTTTGTCTTCGGAGGCTGTGAGGGAAACGGAAATCGATTCACGAGCAAAGAGGAATGTGAAAATACATGCGTGAGGGACACTGATCGAATTGTGGAACAAATAGGTATGCTTTTTCTATGAAAGAAGTCATGACAAGATTGTCTTTCGAACTAACCAGCATATTCACAATGAAACTATGCGCCTGATATCAACATTTCACTCTCACCCTTCCATCACGAAGAACAAGCAGTGACCAAAATACGGAATCGCTTTGCAGGGTGAATTGCCGAGAGTATATATTGTTACCGATAGTCCTAAATCCTAAATCGTTACCGATAGTCCTGAACGTCTGTCATTTGCCCAAAAACGGATCTCTTAATCGGTAGGCCATATCTATGTGTAGAAAGGCACTCTGATTACAAGCCGAGTAGAGCTTTTTGACCATCGTTTATATAATATTGAAGAAAGTCGCTTTTCGTCATGTTGTCTACATTCCAAACAGAAAATGCTGACTAATCGAGCTTACGTATGGACGATCCAGTTCGTGATGGATGGGTGATATTGAAAACAAACAAGTTGTAACTTATTTCATGGTGTAGATTTTCAAAGTCTGGGAAGTTTGGCGCCATTCAATTGTTTCAACATATATGCAATATCATATATTGAACGGTGGTTGTTAATGGACGTGAAAATTTCATGGCCTAATTGGTACTTGTTACATTTCTATTTTTCGTTGTCACTACTGGTTTGATTATCAAATAATCTGAAGGATTTCATAATCAACAGAAGTTTGGTGAAGTTTTCTCTAAGTTTTGAACGTCGGTGCTCAGCGCTAAATCTGAAGCAATTAAAAGAGTCAGGTTCTGTTTGTGAATTTTCAACTTAATTTCCCCCTCAGCCCAAATCCGTTCCTTTCTGATCAGCCCTAAGAAATGGAAGAGCCCTCCAACTTGCGAGAGTCAATAAGCAAGGTACAGGAAAAAGCACCAGACTACGCATGCAGTTTGTTTCATCATGTCATTCCCTGAAAATCGAATGGTGCGGAAGAAATTGAGCAACAGTTTGCAACTACTCTCGTCGTACTCCAAACACCGCTGGTAAGCGAATACAGGTTAGTGAAAGTCACTGATGGCATTTCCCTTCTGCGTTTTAAGGAACTGGTTCTTTACCTTGCATGTTTAGAGAAAATTATTTGGTCACTGAGTGCGTGTTATATATGAAGTTTTAATCGTTTTTCTTCACTCTGTTTCTCTATCTGAAGCGAGCATCCCGGTGTTGTTCCCTCGGATACACCAGCATGTACTTGCGAATGAAAACGTAATGATGCCATGAAAAATTTGTGGGTTCATATTTCCTTGCATTCTGCATATATTATAAGTTAAAATTTAAGACGAGTTAAAGGCCATTCTTTATTTTTTTCAACACTGGATTTATAATCAAGGTTAAAAGAGCACTCCTCGGGTTGCTGCGCAGTTGACAGAGTTGACTAGAGATGAAAGTTACTTGATCCATTAGGCACTGCTAATTTCAGTACGCGCTTTAGACGTGTGTTCTTTAAACCGAGACCCTGGACCTTGCCTTGAGCCGGTCAGCCAATGGTATTTCGACAACGTGAACGATGAATGTAAACTATTCACGTACGGTGGCTGCCGCGGCAACGAAAATCGTTTTAACACCAAAGAGGAATGCGAAGCCAGATGCCTTCCTGCAACAGCCCCACCACCCGCTGTTGCTGACGAAGGTGAAAGTTTGTTTTTGAAACATTTTTCGCGTATCGACTTCTACTGAATTTTTTCCGTTGTAGACATCTGTTACCTGGAGTTCGATGTTGGACCGTGCCGTGCCGCGTTCCGCAAGTGGTATTTTGATTCTAAATCGCACAAATGCCGTGAGTTCATCTACGGAGGATGTCTTGGCAACGGCAACAGGTTCGACAGCGAACAGCAGTGTATTGACAAATGTGGTCAGGTGGCCAAGAAGGCTTATGATCGAGTCAAGCCAAGTAAGCGTCGTTTTTTATCGCGATCTCTAAAACGAACATGCATTCAATGACATCTGCTTCGAATACTTTGCTATGACTGGGAACGCGCTATCTTGTACATCTGAGGGACCAGATCTAGACTGTATAGCACTATTTCGCGTTTCTCTTCTAACACTAGATCAGTCTTCGCTAGCCCTGCGTCTCA